GCAAAACCTCAGAGACTAAAAAAGGAGAAAAATTATGAGTTGACAAAGTGCCTAATTGCCCTGGAGTCTCAATATTATGCCTTGGATCACGACTAAGACCCTGTTCATCAAATAAATGCCCAGCCTTTTTAAAATGAGTATTAAAAGCATTAGACATCTCTTTATTATCCCAAATACAAGAATCACTAACCTTCAGCTTTTGAGGAGGACCATAAACTTTCTTATTTTGTAAGGTTTTGACTATTTTCCAAAATTTAGAATGGTCATTGCAAAGGGTCAGAGTTTACAGTGAAATAATAATTGGCTTTAGATTTTCTGATAAAGAACGTACATTTATTCCTAAGGGACCGAAAAAGGATCCAGTCTTTAGTGTGCCTGACTTTCTGGCTAAAGACCATTGCTTATTAAGAACATGAATGGTATCAGCCAAGTCCCTAGAAAACCAAAGATTTGACCTATTTTTGATCTAGATTTTTTTAAGAGGGGCATGTTTATTACTGATTTTTAGGAAATGATGCTGAAAAAAATGAACAGCATCATCAACAGAAGGAATTAAAGATATTAAATGCCACTTGACAGAAGCCAAGTCATGCAGGAAAGCCTGTTCACAAAATTGTTTAAAACTACGTCAAAGTATAATTAGACCTTAGGATTTGGGCAGCTTGGTGCTTCTAATACAAGCAATTAAGCAATGATCGCTAATATCATTAGCGAAGACACCAATTGCCACATACTTATGGGCTACATTAGTAAGAATTAAATCAATAGGACTTTCACCTTCCATCAAGGGTCGACCCTCATTGTTAGAGAGGGCCAGTTCCTCTGCAGGAGTGTACGGCTGTTATTAGGTGAGCTTTTTTTCCTGTGGGCCGCAAATAATATCAAATCAATTCCATTGTGATCATCCTATAACAGAGACAGTGTGAAGAAGTAAAGCCTTGTACATGTTGTAGGCTATATAGCCTACAACATGTACATATACATATATGTATAAGATATTGTAAGCGTACTGACCACTATGAAGTATGTTTGCTCCCACGTTCTTTTCGCCCCACTGGGGTTGCATCTGAAATAATAAGGCTAAAATCACATGCCATAAAGACTAATTTCATGAACACATAAATTTATGGAACACACAAATGTTATTATAGTCAGAACTACTTCTGTCGTCATGGTGGGGAAGTAATTTTATAATCCCACTAAATTACACATTGACACAGTTGGCGATTTTTCGCCAGCATTCCCTGCGGCTTTTGGCAGCTGCAACTGTGTTGTTTTTTGCCTGGATGAGGGATTTATATTCCTTGTATTTATTTAAGATTATTGTCTGCTCCTCCGTCGTAAAGTATGCGCCGCGGGTGGATTTTTCCATGTCTGCGATTGGTCGTATGCAGCAAACACTGCCCTTTTTATGTGAGCGCGCACAGATCTAGATAGGAAAACCTTGGGTTCAATCAGCGAGTTAATAACTGGCTTCATGGTACTGCTTATCAGGAATGAGGAAGTCTGGTTAAATGCAGCCAGATAACTAAGAGAAATCCCGGGTATGTTAGTCCAGCTTTATGGTACAGGCCCCAGATCTCTCCAGCTCACAGGATCTAGATTTTAAAATAGCTGGGGGAAGCTGATTGGTTGTCCAGAATGAAGGGGGTGAAAGGTGATTGGATGATCAGGCAGGAATAGGACCCCTCTGATTGGCGAAGGCAGGACTTGGGGTAATGATGACTGGCAGGGATCTGGACTAATGGAGAGACAAAGCAGTACAAGCGAAAGCAGGGGGATACAGAAAAGGAGAGAAAAAAAACATGGCACGGAACACTCCCCCCCTTAAGAACTTATTTACCCCAGAGAAAGTTAGTTTACATGTTTAGCCAGTCATGTTGGTCACAGTCACAAAAATACAATTTACACGAAATCTCGCGACAAGGCATCTGCTACTACATTATCGGAACCTTTCTTGTGTTGAATATCCAGGGTATAATTCTGAAGAATTAAAGACCAGCGCATCAACCTTTGATTTTGGTTGTACATGCAATCTATAAAAGTCAAAGGATTATGATCGGTGTACACCCTTATAGGGACCCTCTTGGCTGGATGTAATATGAACAGTGGGACTACCTTCTTAGTATTCTAGTTGATGGTCTAAAAGTTTCGTCACTCGCGTTTCAACGAGTTGAAATTCCCATTAAAAGATATAGGGAAAAAAATATAGGTCATGAAATGGCTAAACCACATGGAAGTGTTCAATATGACCCCCCACTAAGGAAATAATAAGTTTATGGTGGTCTAGCACTATTTAGCTTGACAATACATGGCTTGGAATGAGGTGAAAATGGCCCAAAAATGCCAATTTTTGGCAACACAGTTTTAAAAAGCCCTGGATGTTTTCTTTCAAATCAGACTAGAAACAGGAATAATGGTGCAATTTTTTTTTCTATAGCTCTCTGAAGTCAAAAAGACCCTAAAATAGGCCCAAACATCATTTCTTGGATCCAGCCATATATATATATATATATATATATATATATATTTATATAAAGTATGAATAAAAGTTGTACACCCCTCACATTTCGACAATTAATTTATTATATCTTTTCAAGGGACAATGTTACAGAAATGAAACTTGAATATATTCTACAGTAGTCATTGTACATTAAGTGCAGCAGTGTAGATTTACTGCACTGTCCAAATAACTGAATAAACGGTCACTATTTCCAAAATGGAAGGCAACAAAAGTGAGTACACACCCCAATTGGTAATAGTCAACCAAGCAATGAAACTTGTGTTATTCATCATGTTCATGCTTTTGTCTGTTCGATTGGGCCATATGAGGTTGTGTAACGTGTTGAAGGTTTAAATTGTAGTGCTTTGGGTGCAGTGCTCTCATTCCGGTCACTGGATGGTCAACATGACACCTCATGGGAAAGAACTCTCTGAGGATCTGAAAAAGAGAATTGCTGCTCTTCACAAAGATGGTCTAAGCTACAAGAAGATCTGTGAAACCATGAAGCTGAGCTACAACACAGTGGCCAAGGTCATCCAGCGGTTTTCCAAGATGGGTTCTGCTCGGAACAGGCCCGTCAGGGTCGACCGAAGAGGTTGAGTCCTCATGCTCTGCATCAGGTGCACAAGTTGGCTTCAGAAAACAGACGCAGGAGTGCTGGCAGCGTTGCAAACAAGGTTGCAGCAGTGGGAGAACAGCCTGTCAGTGCTCAGACCATACGCTGTGTACTGTACCAAGTTGGTCTGCGTGGCCGTTGGCTAAGACGGAACCCTCTTCTGTAGCGAGCCCAAAAGAAAGCCCGAAAACAGTTTGCTGAAGGCAACCAGTGCAAGAACATGAACTACTGGAACCATGTTCTGTGGTCTGACGAGACCAAGATGAACTTGTTTGGCTCAGATGGTGTCCAGCACGTGTGGCGGCGCCCTGGTGAGGAGTACCAATACAAGTGTGTACTGCCTACAGTCATACATGGTGGTGGCAGCATCATGGTCTGGGGCTGCATGAGTGCTTCTGGTCCTGGGGAGCTGTGCTTCATTGATGGAATAATGGATTCCAAAATGTACTGTAACATTCTGAAGCAGAACATGATGCCCTCTCTTCAGAAACTGGGCCGCACGGCAGCTTTCCAACATGATAACGACCTCCAAGATGACTTCCTGAAGAAGCTGAAGGTGAAGGTGATGGCGTGGCCAAGTATGTCTCCAGACCTGAATCCCATTGAGCACCTGTGGGGCATCCTCAAGAGGAAGGCGGAGGAGCTGCAGGTGTCCAACATCCTCCAGCTCCGTGATGTTGCCATGGAGGAGTGGAGGAGGATCCCAGCAACAACCTGTGCAGCTCTGGTGAATTCCATGCCTAGGAGAATCAAGGCAGTGCTGGACAACAATGGTGGTCACACTTAATATTGACGCTATGGACACAATTTGGCATGTTGACGGTGAGGTGTACTCACTTTTGTTGCCACCCATTTTGGAAATGGTGAAAGTTTGTTCAGTTATTTGGACAGTGCAGTAGATCTACACTGCTACACATAATGTACGATGATTACTCTAGAACATATTCAGGCTTCATTTCTGTAACGTTGTCCCTTGAAAAGATATAATAAATTAATCGTCGAAGTGTGGGGGTGTACTCACTTATCTGTGACTGCTGGTGAACTAGGGATAGAGGAGGCTGAAACCCATCCCTTGAAAATAATGATTGTTCATGACCTGTTTTCATTCATTCATTTAAGAGCCATTCTGCGAGAGATTGACATTCGCTGCGCATTTGACCCCCCTGGAATTGAATGAAACTTGAAATATAGGTAGATATGGGTGTCTCACAGAAAAAGCCGAATTTTTAGGTCCATATTTCACTGTGCCTGCTGATTGCACCATCTGGAAACCACATAAGTGGCTCAGTTTTGCTGTTGACACCACATTTTACATCAACCATTATGACTTAAGGGTACACAGTACCAAATATGTTATACTTTTATCATGACCTGTGACACTTCAAGTCCAGTTAGACTTCAGCACCACATCAGCGCCAAGCTGGGTAACTACATTATCGAGCCAGAATTATTTGAGAAATAACAATAAAAACTGATAATGGGAATGGGAATAAAATAATATCCCAGACATATACCAAACTAGAATGCTTTATTATGTGTTTACTCACAACAAGACTATCATTTTCAGTGAATAGTACCTTGGTATCTTGCTTTGTTTGTGCAATGGACGGCTAGAAAGATAGCCGTCGTTTTGCTACACCGGCTGTTCGCTATAAGTCGTTTTGCTACATTTACATTTACCCCGTTATTTATTATTTTTCTTTCATTCGAAAATTGGGAGCGACTGATGAATACGGCCTGCATTGGGTTAGGTTAGGGTTAACTAATGTAACTGAATATTTTTTTTTTTTTGGGGGGGGGGATTTTTACCTTTATTTGACAGTTGCAGAGTGGAGAGGGACAGGAAGGTTGGGGAGAGGAATGGGGATGACCTGCGGCGAATGACCCGAGTGGGGATCGAACCCAGGTCACTGCGGGAAGGACACAGCCTTTATGGTGCGGCGCTTAGACCAATGAGCCACCGGGGCGTCCCCTTAACTGAATATTTTAATAAAGAAATGTTATAGGAACGTACTAATTGAATTGGAGTGTGGCGGTGTGCAGCATATGCGGCAGTAGGATTTTTATCTTGAACGGGCTGGCTGTGTTCTTCAGTTGCTCCTAAAAGTGTTCATCAGACAGGTATTCATGTTTGATTTTGTGAGTTGGGCCGATTGAGTAAAAAGAACTGCTTCGACTAGGCCTACAGAGGCTTGTCATTGTCGCCATTTTGGATAAAAAATTCAGTGCTTCCAATGCATTTTTCCTCTAAAATGGCACCAATGACCAGCCTCCATATAAAGCAATATTGCTACAAATGCTGGAAACAAAAACCATCCATCACAAAGGTTGACATACACTTATAACACTTGCCAGTTGCCAGAATAGGAACAGATGCCAACCGTAAGTACAGTAAATCATGACACATACTGGAGTATTCATCACTAATACCGTTGGGTGTGAAATATATTCTGTGTGTGTATGTAAGTATGACAGTACAGTAGATATTAAAAGCTGTCTTAATATACACCAGATACTACAGGACTTTCTGTCCCCTGATGTTGCAGAAGAGCAAGGAGGTGACCTTTCTGCTTTCAGTGATCCACCTGTTGATGAAAGTTTTGACAAACAATTCCCCTGCTTGGTAATTTACAGCGGCAGTTTGAGAAACTACGCATCAAGTGTTGCTCTCTCTCTCTCTCTCTCTCTCTCTCACTCACTCACTCACTCTCTCTCTCACACTCACCCTCTCACTCACTCACTCACTCACTCTCTCTCTTAGGCCCGTATTCAGAAACGACACTCACACTAATTGAGCGTGAGTGAGTACTAAAACTTAGTAAGTGTCAGGTTATACTAAATGAGTCAGAGGTTGCCCAAACACTCATTTGCTTTCAGAGACCTCACTCACACTGAAATTAGTGTCTCTCTGAGTGAAGGTTGAGTGCAGGGAACACCTCTCTTGAGCCGCACTAATTTGCGCAGGTATTTCGTTGTCATGGCCTTCAGGTGGTTACAAACATTGAAAACTCTGGACCATTTACAGCCACATGCTCGACGCACTCGCAACTACGCAAATTTTAACTCTAATTATGATAACGATGCCGGTAACTGCACTGTGGTGAACTCGAGGTTAGCATTTGTGTACCCGCCAGTGGCTACTGGTGAACTGGCAATAGGGGAAGCTAAAAACCATCCCTTAAAAATAATGATCGGACATGACCTGTTTTCAATCATTTAATAAAACTTTATTTACTTGAACTCCAAAAATCCTAAGGATTATCATGTGTCGCCAGTTCTACTTGTTAAGTTATGCCTGTGATCCACTTACGCTTTTAAGGCTTCCGCACGCAAGCAATCGTGGCCAGTCAGAAGCTTTTGGAAACGCCGGGAACCATCCGAAACTCGCGCAAACAATCGTAGAAAAGAGTGATTGCGGAAAAAGTTTTATCCCATGATCCACTAACACGAGCACTTCTGATTGATTTTTGCCAACGTCAACAATAAAGATAGCGGTTGTTTCTGTTAACGGTTTCTAATTGGCTAATTGCAGAGGAAATATTCGCCGCCTAGTTTGCACTTGACGAACCGATACTCCCGAGTCATTCCGACACCTCAAACCTTCCGACAAAATCAAACTGGTTTGATTTTGTCGGAAGAGGGATCCCGCGTGATCCCATCCAGTCGGAACCTGTCTTATTCACGCGGAAGGGTCAGAACAGGTCGGAAGTCATGATCCACCTATGTCTTGCGCGTAACAGAAATTTCCACTCGTAATCGCTCGTAACTAGTCGGAAGGGGAGAATCGGGACAATCAGAGACCTTAAAAGCGTAAGTGGATCACGGGCTTTAGAATGAGCACCGATAATTATTGCCCTGTTTTCAATTCATTAAATAACCATTGCAGAAACTCCGAAAACTCTCAACATTATCAGGTGTGACCAGTTTTCATTAATGAGGCATATCTGTCAGCTCTCACGCATTCGGATTTCTCGCGCTTTTAATTACTCATGGGTTAAATAATTCTGCGCTCAGCTGGCTCGTGTGGCGGCGCGTGGATTGGTCTGCGAGGCTCATTTAGCTGTAGGTCACGAGAATCCATTCTTTTCTACATTCTTAATCGCTGAATGTAGAAGGTAATGTCCGGCACGTTTCACAGCTTGTCGCTCTGTGAGCCTCGTGGGCTGTCCTGCGCCTTTCGCGAGCTGCTCGACCACAGAATTTATGAAGACATGCTGATATTTACGTCGTCTTTTATGTGCGAAAGAAACGCCTCAATTTTGTGAAGCAATGTATAACAAAGGTATTAAAAATAAATTTGATATTCGTTTTACCAATTAGTCTGAGAAACTTTCTAATCAAGTAAAGTAAACTGCGGCAGGTTTAGGTCATTCTGCACTGAAGGGTGAGGATTGAGCGTCCCTTTGCAGCAGCCGACGCACCGCCTGTGGTACCCACTGCCCACTACTGTCAGTTATGCTCGAGTGGCGTTTGTGAATAGCTGCTGGCGAGGAGTGGGACCGCTCCCTCGGTTAGTGGTAGGTCGATCTCTCTCTCACGCTCAATTTCAATCGTGCTCACTATATGGTGAGTGGAGGGTGAGTGTGAGTGTCATTTCTGAATACGGGCCTTACACTCACTCACTCTCTCACACTCACTCACTCTCTCTCACTCTCTATTTCACATTCACACTCTCACTCTCCCTCTCTCACTCAACACTCACTAACTCACACACTCTCTCACGCACTCTCACTCACACTCACTCACTCTTTCACTCACTCACATTCTTTCTCACACACTCTCTCACACTCATTCGCTCACTCTTTCACTCACTCACTCACTTACATTCTTTCTCACTCACTCTCTCACACTCACTTACTCACTATCACACCTTCAGGAAATATTTCCTAAGCCTGTTTGATGTATACACCTTTTTGGACTTCTTTTTTTTTTTAGCTTTTCCTACGTACCTGTCAGTACAAATATAAAGTGCATGTGCTTTTGTGTACATATTTAGGTGAATCCAACAGAAAAGCTGTGCCCGCAGTGCAGCTACAGGTCAGTCTGAGGCCAGCCACACACATGCACACAAGGCTGTGCAGTGTAAAGGGAGGGACGTGCCAAAGGTATCTGATGTTGTTAGTTTTCAGTTGCTGACGTACTTAAAAATTTTCTTTTGGCCAAGCAGATGTCAGGGGGAACAGATCTTTTTCACACCCGAGAATCACTGTGTTCCTACATCACCAGGGATTATCATTTCTACAGCATTCATGTATTATTACATCTGCACACAAAAACAGGCATTTTATACAAAATATTTGTTTCTCTGACTCTAAATACTTAAGCTACCTGTATAAGCCTACAGTGTGAGACAACCTAGGGAAAGAGGAATCTTAAAAACGGTTTGTGCTGTTGCTACATTGTACAATACATAATTGTAACATGACAATGTCAAGTTGTTTTCATTCTTGTTTCTTATTACAAGTTTGTTGTTGAATATTATATTTTGTATAGCTTTTCAAGCTTATGAGTTCACTGCAAAACTGTTTCTTCAGTTTGCAGAACACAAAACATTGTGATGTTTTTGTTACATTGCATTTCCCCCAGGTTTGCAGACCTCTACGCCATCAGTGGTCGCTGTTGCTACACAAACAGAGGATGGAGATCGCAGCGACCAGTGCACCGATTCAGAAGACCAGATGTCAGTGTCAGATGAAATGTCAGTGCTTGGCAGACGATCCCGACTATGAGCCGTCTTCAGACGATTCTGATCGAAACATCCCTGCCTCAGGGAACACTAAGACATCGGATGCCCTGCCAGGTCGTCGCGTTTTCATGGTCCTCTGGCTAAGCTTAGTTCAGCTGTTTTCTGCATGGTGCAGCTGTCGAGTGTGTGCGAGTAGGGTGCTTACCTGGAGTTGCAAACAAGTGGGAACGTTACTACAGGTCACATTCTACTGCGAAGAGTGTGGTCACAAAGGCATGTGCAACTCTCAGCCATTCTTCCGGAGGACTGTCGCTGGCAAACATTTTGTTGTCATCTGCTATCCTGTTTGCTGGAGCAAGTTTTATAAAAGTCCACCGGTTGTTGTCCCACATGGGAGTCGCGCTTATATCTGCCAGATCCTCCTTCCGTCACCGGGAGCAACTCCTGTTCAAAGCCGTGCTGCGACTGTGGAGAGAGCAGCAGTTCTCCATGCTGAGGGGGACCCCATTGTGTGTGGTGGGGACGGCAGAGCAGACACGCCAGGGCACTGTGCCAAATATGGCACCTACACGATGATGGAACTGCGGAAAACAGCCGTCATCGATGTTCAACTTGCGCAGGTACATTTGGCATGTAAATTTGCCTTCCTGTGATGCCTGTTTTGTATAGAAAACTGAGTCTTGGTGCAAAGTCAGGGATGAAAGAAAATAAATAAAAATAAAAAGCATTATTTCTGAGACCATGTTCCCACACCCAAGAGAAAATGTAAATGTGCCTAGTAACTCTTATGTACTTACTGGTCCTGACCAGAGATAAAAAATAATTCCTTAGCCCCTGCCTGGAGTCATGTTACCACCGTTGAATATTTTGCAGGAGTGAGTTTACCATGATTCAAGGGCCACGGTAAACTAACCCCTTTGTGACAAACTGACAGTGTGTTTGCAGTTAGGGCAAGCAGAAGTCAATTTTCTAGTTTCCATTGTTACTCTGGATTATATCACGGGTTATCCATGTTTTAGAGCAATGAGGTAGGAACCAGCTACCACATGGAGCAGGAGGGTCTGGAGCGATCCCGACACAAGATCCAGGAGTTCGTGGAGGTGGACACGCTGGTGACAGACACACATGTCGGGATCAACAGGATGGTCAGGGAGGAGCACCCCGCCATTGAACACCTGTTTGACATCTGGCATGTCGCTAAAAGTAAGTGCAACTTGTTGAAGCAAATTTATTTCTTCTCATACACTTAACAAAAATATAAACGCCCCATGAAAATTATTT